AGGTCAAGGAGAGTAGATGTTTGAAGTGACTTTTCATCCAGTTGGTCCATTGGGCCAAGTAAGACAAGGTCAAACCCAACCAGGTAGACAAGATTCTAATAAAGAAAGGCCAGACGAATTCCAGGATTGTGGGTGGCAGAAACAATCCCAAAGTTCAGAAGAAATGAAAAGAGGAGGGGGAGTTCCCCACTTCAAGAAAACATTTCAATCCTGAGCCCAGGAGCCCGATTCCTCTCTCCCCCTTCCTGACTTTAAAGAGGGACATCCATTTCCCAAACCATTTTCGAGGGGGTCTTCTGGAAGCTAAGCCACTTCAGACTTTGAAATGAAACCATTCTCCAGCTAAGTTACTTGTAAGTCAAAGATTCTGCTTCCAAAGTAATCTAGTTGTTGTACCAGCCCATGCTGACAGTTTCTCCTGGTGTGGGAGGCAAATTTTTGGCAAAGTTGGGAATACTTCATGCTTGAGATTGAATCTGTGTTATCTGAGTTCAAGACATGGATTCTACCAATGACCTATAACTTCTCCCTATAAGCCAATTACGGTCTGCAAAATTTCAAAAATGAAGTAGGAAAATCCTTTCATGCCATGGCCATTCTTGGCATTTTCATTTCTCTTTCCCATCTATTTTTCTTGTTTTCCTTCTCCAAACCAACCTCCCATCCCCTTGCATCTTAGCTTTCTTTTGCTCTAGGTGAGCGAGCCATTTCACAGGTAATGGTAAATCAAGATTCTAATGAATCCAGATTTCCCATGAAGATCTGTGAAACAAATAGTTGAAAATATCCAGGTCCAGTTTATAATAGCTTAACAAGAACTTTTTATAGCAGCAATGGGGATTAATGTCATTTAAAAAAAAATTCTTTGCATATTCAGGCTCCCTTGAATGAAGATATAGAAGTACGCACAGGGAGTGACACTGGCTTAGCAGTTGTGAATGTAAGTGAACAAAACATCTTCATTTATTTATATTCTGATGTTCTAAAAGGTGCTTCTTGCATCAAATGGCATGTGGACCCCCAAATCTCTGAATATGTTTTCTCCTATTCAGAACACTCCAAACTATAACATGTTGTAAATCCAGCTTGACAGATGGATGTGAGAGAATGAACAAGAAAATGAGCGTTGGAGTTCAGGCCCTCCAACATCTGGGTGGGGAACATATTCATTTGGCTAGAATACAACTAGATATCAGGGGTTTTTTTTAGTTTTGGACCTGGAGTTCTTCTTACTGGGTTGGCTAGAAACATACCGTAGTAGATAGAGTACTGGGATAGATTATCGTTACAAATTTAACCCTTTGACTTACCTATTTTACACATATTATAACAGTAACTAGAAGCTGATTGGTGGGTTCAAAACCTCCAACCTAATGTGGTTCCCCCTTTATTTTTATTTGGACATCTACAGCTGAGGAGCGTATATTATAAGAGCAGTGTTTCTGAGGACACTTGTGACTATCAGCTGAAGATTGATGTCACACAAGATGGTGAGGAATTCATTTTTAAAAAAATTAAACTGGAGAAAAGACAATTAAGGGGACAGTTAGATAGTTCTCTTCATGACTTTGACGGGATGGCACAGTGATTTTTTCCCCTGTTCCTCCCAAGATGGGATGTGTCTGTGACAAGAGAAGGGATTTCAACTAAGCATTAAAACTATTTATTACTAAGACCAGCCCAGAAGGCAAAGGTGAGGGGGTTTCTTTCCTCAGAGATTCTTTAAGTAGTAGGGGGATGGCCACTTACCTTATTTATTAAGTTATTATTAAGTTATGGATTTCTTGGATCATCTTTAATCTGAACACAGACTAAATAAAAATAAGGTTAATGCGTAACACCTACAGAGCTCTAGCTTGAAATCTTCTGTCCATAAAGCTCTTTAGTGCATATACTGAGAAGCGATCCTATTTAACTGAGCCTCTGCAGACAATATTGGTACCCCAAATCTACTCCAACATAGCTTTGATAACCTCTGTAAGGTAAAATCTCAGTACTGCTTGGGAGGGCATCAGGTTCGTGAATACGTCTATAAACAATTCCTTTCTGAAGTGCCCAAAATTTTTCAGCCTGGGTGGTGGCAAGAATGCATTTCTTTCCTCTGAATATATGGAATTGCAATGTGTTGTTTTGGCCACTTCATGCTCTACTGGATAATTAATCCTGAAATTCTTTTCTTTTGTTTTTAAATCAACCTTCTTTTGCATATGCAGAAAGGAAGTACTACCTGTCCTCCAACCAAGTCCGACTGTTGGTCGCCTGTGCAAAGTAAGTCTGGATAACCTGAGGCTGTTGCGGTGTCAAGAAGAGCGGGAAGAAGAGTCATTACTTTTGATACGTTCTCTCATACTTTTTCAGCCTGGGCCTTGAAGCTATACAGGGGTGAATCTGGTTAGTTTTTGAATGGGAGGCGATCGTGAGAAGGCCATGAGGAGATCTTAGGGCTGTAGGCTAGACGAGGAAGTAGAAAAAAACATGCTTGAAGAAGACAAGGGCCAATCATTTGTATACTGTGGCTAAGAAAGCAATGTAGATGTGTTCATGAAGTCACCAGGACTTCAGATCAACTTGGAGGCTTGCTCTTTTCCTGCCTAATAACCTTCCACCCTGTTGCTTATTCCAGGTTCTTCCTTTCTCATCCTGCTCTCAAGTCCTACAGTTTATGTCCCACAATTGGGATCGAGAGTTGGTTTTATTGATGCAAACTCTGAAAAAGTGCGACAAATTCATGGAGCTATAAATGATCATTGATGGCCCGTGTCAGAATCAAAGTGAAAGAAAGTGGTTGTCTCCCATGGAGTCAGTTGCTATTGTTTCCATTTTTCACTCTGCATAGGTACAAACCTCGTAGGAAAATACCGCAATCTTCCTCTTCCCATGCAGTGATAGATATCTCTCTTCCCAATGGACTGGAAGCAAATACAGAGGATTTGTCTATTGTAAGTAATATTGATATCCCCATTTTTTTTTAATGTAGTGAGATCTTAATTCAATATATATTTTTGAACACAAATATGTATTTCTAAACACATTGGGTCCTAAACTGTATTTTTTTAGTTGAAAACTGCCCTGAACAAATTCAGAAAACTGTGAACTCTAATCAACTCACATCTACAGTTAACCCTATGGCCATTCAAATACCAATTTAGCAAAATAGAAACTTTTTTTAAAAAAGTAAGCCTTTTTTTCCAGAATATATCAATCCAGCTGGTAAATATTCTCATTTCTTTTTCTCAGCTTGCAAATGATGTTGACCCGCTGATTCCAGAATATGAGATAACACCAGAGGGACATGTATTAATGCAGGTAGATTCGGTAAGTATTTTTCACAACGCTTGCCAAATAACTAATTTTTTTTTTATCATCCTATCTCTCAGGGCTGCTTAATTAAAACTCAGTTGATTGGTCCAATAGAACTTGTCACCCCCTGCCAGATTGAGCAGGGAGGCACAGGAAATGGGTTTCTGCAAACTGCATGTGCTACACAGATTAAGCTGTTTCTTCAGGGTGCAAATAACTGCATTCTGCCAGTCAGGTGGTAGTAGAGAAGATCAATGTATTTTTCAGTATTCTGAAGCCCTGTTTTCTAATCAGTGGAGATCATATTATATTAGTATTCCTCGTTAAATTCAAGTAGATGCCCACGTTCATAAAAACAGAGCTGCTGATCAGATCAGGCTAAAGATTCCAGGCCATTCTCTTTCACCGAATCATTTCTGGGAAACCCCGAGTAGGATACGAGGGTAATAGCTTCCTTCTGCCCACATTCCTCAGCCAGTGGTGGTTTTGCACACCCCACAAATGTAACTGATCTTATTTTGGAAATTAACTAAAGTCATATTGGCTCACATCAAGAGCTGATACAGCAACGCACCGAAGATCCATGAAGTTTCAGCGTAAAGAGGCTGGGTGGAGAAATGTCGTTTGTGGTTTTATTTATAACGAATCCATCTGAACTTACATTATTCTGATAGATTCCAGGAAATGATTTCCTGTGTGTTGGCTTCCGAATAACTGAAATTTACCAAGTTGGAATGCCAAGTCCAGGAACCTTCTCCGTGTATGACTATCACAGCCCTGGTAAGGAATTAATTTTGGTCAGCTTTCCTGCAAGACAGAATCCCAATCTGGCCTTTTTAAGCTTAGCATGTCAGTCCAGACCACACCAGTCTGTTGATGAAATTTAGGCTGTTGGCTTCAGTACTGATTACTCTCCAGAGTTGAACGCTGTATCTCATTTGGCCCTCAGCGTTCTCAGAAATCCACCTTATTTCAAGAGAATTTTGAATCTGCTTTTTTCCCCTTGCCATTCCTAACGTAACTGACCTGATCAATCTCTCTCGGTTTCAAAAAAATGTAACTTTTGTTTTTACAGATAAACGGTGCACTATCTTTTATAATGCTTATGGAGAAGCGTCACTTGTTAAGCTATGTGAAGACAATGAATGCAAATGTATGGAAGGTAAGCAACTTATTCAAAAGGAACTTGAATTAAATAACCTGAAAAAACGTAAGTTCAAAGGGTGTTAAAAATGTATAAAATTAAAATCATGACATATTAAGAAGAATGTATTAAAAAAGCAACTCTGTTGTTTAATTATCTCCATTGGGTCATTAAGAGCCAACTCAAAGGCAAAGAATGAACATATATCTTCAGGATTTTAAATGCAAAGTAGTGTTATCTCTCCAATGAAGTTTTTTTTTTTTTTAGTTGTACTCTATGCTTAATAACACCAAGGTTTTTCATAAATCTATAGATTGCTGGCTTTTGTTGTATAATTCAACAACACCTTATAATTTTAAAACATTTTCTTCTCAAAATTATATTACCAGTCATATGAACATGGAGACAACTGTAGAACCAAGTGATTTAATTCTATAGAACTTTCTTTGGATCATTTAGATTATAACATAACGTAAATTTCAATCCTTTTCACCACATATTTTCCCATGGTTCCATCAGTATATTGTGTCCAAAGTTCTTAGCCCATTTTATCATACAGACTTTCACTTGTTCTTCGTCTGTTTCCATTTTTTTCACTATTTTTTCACCACTTTTATGGTTTTTACTTTGTTAAAAATTTCTTCAATAAAAATTATATAAAAAAAGAACTTTACTCAGATCACAGCGTTGGTATAAACCAGCAGTGTGTCAGAGCATCATATAACATGATTCATTGCTTGGGAAAGGTGGTTCTTTTGGGGGGGGGGTATGCAACTGTTTTCTATTCTCAATAGATACTTTTTTGGGAAAGAATTGCAGGTAAATATAAAGCACTATCAAAACATTTCTAAACAGTGCACGAAAGTAAAGAAAATTCTGTATCTGCTGGTTTGTATTAAAATTTTTAAAAAATGGGCTTAAGGTTTCAGGAGAGGCATGTGTTCCAGTCATATGCATCCGTGTCAAGGCATAACACAGAATCCCTTTTGAAGAAATTTTCCTGCTTAAAAAGATTCTTCTGTCTCCCAAAAATACAGTGGAATGTGGACATATGCAGCCCAGGCTGGACAAGTCCATAACTTTTGATACCCGAAAAGAGGCAGCTTGCCAGGAGAACATTGCGTACGGTAAGAGATCCATGCCTAAGAGAACGTGGTTCCCTAAACAAGAAGTTCTATGTGGCACCAGAAATTGGATACACAAAATGGTTCCTAGCGATATGTAGACTTTCTCACTTGCTACAAAGCACAGGGTGTGCCCTGAGGCTCGGTTTTAAAGCACGTTTTCCAACTTTAGCTCATGATCTCATTTCTGGGCAGCAAATTGTGGGGAGGAAGGTTGAGCCTTTGGGGGATTTTAGGAGGTGAGGGTGGAGAGTTTGGCCAGCTTTCCAGATGCACAGGCATGCACAGGCCCTGAAGGCTACCTGATTGTGGAGTATCGTTCTATGGGAATTTCTGGGGAAAAGAAATAATCCTTTATTATCCCCCACACTGGATGCATGAGTTTGTTTCCCCCATCCAGACTTTATCACAGCCCTCTCCAACCTTCACTGACCTAGAAAATGTGAAGGAGAGTCAGACTGGTGTGGTGCGTGGACGAGAGACCATTAGAAAGTCCAGTGACTAAAGACCAGGATGTTGAGAAGCCATCCCAGAACCATTTCTGTAACCCTGCCAAGCAAACAACATGGATGCATCTGTGGGGTCATGAGGACGCGAGCTTCTTCTCTTGCCGCTTTCTGTCTCCGGGTTGGGTCTGAGAAATGCCTGCCTTTCCAATGAAGAGGTTGGGAACGTGAAGGGTTCCACCGTGGTTTGGAATCAGCCACTGTGATTCTGAGCAGAAGTTTCAGATGGCAACCTCTGCCTTCTCCAACAGGCCCTTCAGAGGATTTAATGGCCTTGGGTCAGCCCCTCTAGGTAGACGAGACCAAGAAATCAACTCCACAGGAAGGCCAAAATGACTTTTATTGAAAGTGGCTATAATAACAAAGCCTGGTTCTGTGGTACCTCCTCTTCCTCCTCCTTATAGCTTAGTGAACATAAACTGAGTGAATTTAGTGAATGAGTCTCAGCCACTTCTGAACGTTATCTAGCTGTTGTGGACCTCAAATATGTTTTACCCTTGTTGCTTTGGCAGCGGAGCTGGCAAATCTCTGTCAAGGTCCTCTTCCTTATTTTCTACACCTTGGGTAGAAGATGTTTGCTCTTCTATGAAATGCAGAAGGGAATAAAGTATCTTGACCCATAAAAAATAATTTACTAAATATCCACAAACCCCTTGGGAAGATTGCTCTGTAATCAAGGCATTGCAGATGTGAAATCTCCCTGTTTGGGTGTCAGTTACCTGTTTAGGGATGGCTTTGAGGAGGTGGGAGCATCACCGATGGGGAGGGGGCTATAAAAGCAGAGCTTCCTTATTAGACAACTTGAAAGGCATATGTTTCAGGGCAAAAGGGATTGTGGTATTTATTTAATGAATTGTTATTTCTCCTTTTTGCCCCCTTAGTGTACAAAGTGATTATCAAATCATCCAAGGAAGAAGGAAGCTTTGTTAAATACAATGCGATCCTTCTGGAACCCTATAAACTAGGTGAGAAATTAATTTCGCATCCATTTAGTAATCAAATGAATAATAGCAGATGCCTGGGTGGGGTCCCGGCACCCATGAGATACCATGGGTTTGTTCCTTGATGCCCATTCAGCTGCCCTTCTTGCACCCCTTTTAAGAAGCCCTGGGTTGTTCCTCTGCATGAGACGCGCTGAGCTTCTGCCAGAAGATTCAGCCCCATTGGAAGAAAGCTTGGCCTGTGGGTTCCCTTCAACTTCTTTCAACTCTTCTGTAGGGCTGGCTTTTGCTGAGAAGAATGCAGAAATCATCTTTATTAAAAAGAGGTCCTGCATGGATATTCAGTTAAATCTGGAGGAGAATTACCTGATCATGGGAAAAGAGGCCTTGAAGACAGGAGAGGGCGCCAGTGCCAAGTAAGCAAACAAACTTTTGGTGGAGGGGCCGCCCCCCTCCAAACCCTTTGGAAAGGATGGCAGTTTAGCCCGCTGAAAGGCCTCTGTGCTCTTTGACAAACAGTATCCATATAAGGCCACGACAGTGTCAGAGGAGCTTCTTGTCAATCATGTACAATCAACTGTAGAGATGCTATCACTTAGCAGAAGCAGAGGGAAAAGCCCAAATACGCATGTCGTAGGGAGGCACTTCTAAACCATGCATTGAAGTGGAGCTGCGGAACCAGGAACTGCAAAGGGGTGGGAGATGGAATAGGGACACCCCTGAGGAGTAACAGATAATCCTGAAAAACAGCAAGGTTGGAACACCTCTGCAAAGCGACGTTTTGTGCGCGTGCACGCTAGGCTGAAATATTTCTCGTCTTCACCTTTCTGGGTCGGTGACACAGCCAAGTCCAAGACCTGAGCTGCACACACCTATGACAAAATCACCAAGCAGAATATTAAAGGTGGTGCAGATGGGGGATCTGAGAAGAATTTCTTATTGGTAGAAAGTAATCACCGGGGGGGGGGGCAGGTCTGTGCAGTTCTACCCAAGGACGGTTTTGGTTTGGAAGTGCGAAAAGGTATACAGGGGAAGCGTGGAGGCTTAGCAGCAGCCTTTGAAATAATGGAAGAGAAGTGCTCAAAAGGTTACTTTGGAGAAGCCGAATTAGTTCTCTTGATGTTCTGAGCAAAATGAGGTCATTATTCCATTTTCATTGTTTCCTTTCTCTTTCTTTCTGGGAATATGGATGGAGGCAGGAAAAAAAAATGTGGTCCATTCCCTAGTGTTGGAATTGTAGAAGGCTGCTCCTGAAAACTTCAGCTGTATTCTGAGTTGAGGTTGTCCTGGTTTACTTTCTGCCCTGATATGGTTTTGCTGGGTCTTTCCCCGTCCCTTACATTGCACATTGGCAAGGTGTGTGAACCCCCAGGATATTAACATCGGGACACAGGAGTGAGTTTAACTACAACATTGTAAGCTGACACTTTTTCCAGGAGCTGTACCATCCTTCTAACCTGGAAGGGATTGCGCAGTAGAAAACACCCAGCGGATTTCCTTCAGCCACCCGGGTTCCCTCAACTAGCATGAACATCTACTGTTTTTCCATTTAAAATGTCATTTCTCTTCCCTGTAGATACCAGTATCCTTTGGATGACATGACGTGGATTGAGTGGTGGCCTTCCTCAGACGCAACGTGTGACTTTTGCCAAGCCTTTAGAGAATCCTTGGAAGAATTTGGTGACGATCTCTTTATCAATGGTTGTTAAACTGTTGAAACGTCCTGCGAAAGGTCTTAGGCTTCCTGAAACTGGCATTTTTGACAATTTGTTATGGACTTCCATGGTAAACTTAGACACATAAGGATGTGATCTTGCTTAGTCTGCCCTTAACCTCCCCTTCTGCATTGGTGGGTAGGGAACATATACCTCAAAGGTATATGTTTTATTTTATTTCTTTCATTCCCAAACCCTCTTTTCTTTCCCGCTTTCATTCTGAGTCTGGGGGACTTAAAAGAGATGAAATAGGTGTGGGAGGTAAGGCAGAGATGAGAAGGCAGGAAGAATGGGTATGCCTCAAAAAATTGGGATGTAGTATATTGTGTATATCATATTAGCACTGTATTGACCAAGTGGAGATTTGTAAGATGAGTAACCAACCCTAACCCCATCTTTTTTTGTCAGCCGTATCAAATAAAAGTTAAGATATTTCATGATTTGCATTTCATTTTTGCTGGGAATGAGTGTAGCAATGAAACCAGTCTGGTTTGGTAGTTAAGGTGCAGACTAGAAGCAGAAGGGCTGTGAATTCTAGCCCTGCCTTAGGCATGAAGCCAGCTGGGTGACTCTGGTCCAGTCCCTCCCTCTCAGCCCTAGCAACAAGGCAATGGGGATTCACTTCTGAAAACTCTGAAAACGTCGCCAAGAAAATTGCATAGACTTGTCCAGGTGCTTGCCAGGAGTCAAGACTGGCTAGAAGGTGTGTGCACACACAAGAAACATTATCTGCCTATAGAAATTTGCTAGCTGAAGACAGCAAAACCCTCCTTCCCCCAGCATTAAATCAAAAAGCTGCCCATCTCTTGTGTAGGTGACTGCTTAAGCTTCAAAAAAGTCAATTCAAAGTTTCTAGTCCTCATGACTCCTTAGGCTATGCTTGCCGGAATTTCAAAAGCCAGCAAGGAAGACCGAAGAAGAATTCCAGCAGCCGATAAAAGATGTTTTGGTACTCAACCTTTCCTGGTGAAATAATAATAATAATAATAATAATAATAATAATAATAATAATAATGTCACACAAAATAGGGTAAAAGTTCATATTGGATATATTTTCTTATCTGTTGTCAACACCAAAGCCACTAAAGACATCACGATACCCAGAATTCAGTGAAAGGTGTAAATCACAGGATGCCAATTCTACTGCAGGAAAAAATGGGGGGCTGGCTAAAAAACCCTCTCTTATTCTTATGGCTATGGAGAAATTCTACTCATCAGAAACCTTTTTCTAATTTTGAGAGGCTATTTGCATCCAGCTGTAGATATTTCCCTTCTGCAAGTTCCCCCCCTTTTCTTTTTTAAGGAAAAAAAAAAAGTCAAAACAGGGCAAACCTGTGCCAAGACTCATAGATTCACAGAAGTGGACAGGACAGTTGAGACTATCAGGCCTCTCTTTTGCTCTATGCAGGAATCCAAATTCACGTATCCCCTAGAAATGGCTGCCTAGTCCCTACCCAGAGATAAGCACCACTGGATTCAACAGGACCAACTTTTAGGTGCCGACTTGCAGCCTGAACTGCAAGCTGAAACTAACAGTAAGTTTTCGGTACTTTCCGCAGCTGACCTATTTCCTCTGGTAATTCCCCCTCGGCTCATCCTTCGACGAACTCAGAGAATAGGCTAAAAACACTGCAGAACACAACAGGATGTGGCTGGCACAGAACTAGGGGCTCAAAGTGCTGGATTCCCCTAATTTAGACAGCCAATCTGCAGCGGAAAGATTTACAAAGCAGGGTTGCACGGGTGGGAGACCGGTCCAGCTTGCAAATGCAACCGACAGGCTAGAGATGCTGGACTGCTGGGCATTTTGCAAAGGGTTGCTTTTTTTAACACGCAGCAAAACCAGGAGACTTGGCACAGCGGCCCTCGCGAGCTGACACACATGCCTTGGATTTCAGGATCGTCTGTCCTAGATCCTGTCTCTTTCAGAAAGAGGGATCTATTTATCTTGCTGAGGACAGACCAGTTTCATGACATTCACTCCCTTCAAGGGCCATGATAAATTTTGTCTTCAGGGGCATGGAAATCTGTTTAAGTAGCTGTTTGCTACTACATTTCATTTGCAATAAAGAATAAGGGCATTCACCTTCTTGCTATCACAAAGGCAGCTGAATAGCCACAGCAGGAAACAGGACACCGAGATCAGACGGACTCTCTGTCTGGCCTGGCACAATGCTTCTGTGGGACAATAGATACCATCAGGTATCCTTTTCCCATCTAATCTCAGCTTCAGGTTATACTGTTATGTTCAGGTTAAAGATCTGGTTAGTGCTGGGATGGGAGACCATGAGGAAGGGCCAGGCTGGGGGCCAGACTGGGAAGTTGGAAACGATCCCAGAACAAAGCGAAGGTAGAACAACGTTCATGGGGTGACCAAGAAAGCTGTGAGGATGTATCACACACAGTTTTGTGTCTAGCAATACATAAAGGAGGCTTTTACTCTGATATGATGAGGAAGTGGGTTATGGTGGCAGCGTCCTTGTGAAGGATGTTCACAAAGTGAACTACAGTTAGCAAATTGGCAACGCCATTGCCCCATCTTCCTGTGCACGTGAACTTTATTTTAGAAAACTTACATTGCTGGAGGAGGAGGAGGAGAAGGAAGGAGAAGGAGGAAGAAAAAGGAGGAAGAGGAAGAAAGAGGAGGAGGAGGAGGAGGAAGAGGAGAATTGGTCAATAAGTAGTCCATAAAACCCACTGCATACATAAAACCAATACTGATTAACTGATTAGGTAAACAGATCAATCTGCTGTGCATCTTACATATCCATATACGAGAAACCTTGGGGGTCCCTGCTCAGCATCCTAGAGAAAACAGACCTCAGGAGTGTTATCTCGGAAATCCTAGTGACCAGACAAGCAAAACAAAACATCTGAACTCCATCTTCCAACTGCTTGGCTTGGATTACCCGGCAGCTGCCCTCGGAAAGCCGTTTTGGGCTAATGAGGCCAAAGGAGCGGAATGGTTTGAGATAAGAGCAAACTTCGCTGGATCCAGCTTTTATCCTTATTAACAGCTGCCCGGCTGGTCTGAGTACCTTCATTTGCACTGTGAAAATAGGTCAGCCTAAGACCTAGCGTAGAGATAATGGGAGGGTTTGAGGGCAGACGTCTGGGGCACGGTGTAGTGGAAGGGTCAGAAGGGACCCCCCCCAACAGCAGAGTTTGAACGTTTGCAGAGAACCCATGCACCTCACTGCCCCCACCCCCCAGTAGCCCCTTCCACAAATCTGAATGTTTACACACACCAGCCCAGCCAGGCACATTCATTTATGAAGATGGCATGGAAATCCTGCCCTATTTCCTCCTCCTGCCAAGCCTTGGACCCAGCCCCCCTCCTCTATCCAACCGGGAGGCATCTCCTTCCTCGGTGGAGCTGGACATCGTGGCCAGACAAGCTGGTCCCTCTGCCCCTGATTCATGCTGCTCCTCGACTTTCCTGCCCTCTGCTTTGCGTCTCTGTGTTTTCGGGGGAATTTGAAGGCTGGCTTTGTAACTTCCTGTCACAGCTGCCTCAAACCCTTCGGCTCGTCTCCCTTCGCCACAACCCAGCATCCTTTGAAAGCCAGCTTGGAATGAAACCTTGCTAGCTTTAAAGTCACCCCAGCAGGCCAGAGACCCCTTGGCCCTCGGGGGGGGGGATTTCTTCCTGAGCGTTGGCAGGCAGGCAAGGCGGCATGCTGGTGATCTGAAGCCCCTGTTTCCCTCTCGCTGCACAGGAGCTGCTGCGGATGGCAGAGAGAGAGAGAAACAGCAGCCCTGGCACTCCCCCAACCAGCTCCTCTCTGGATGAATCCGGGCACCCTTTGGGCTCCCCCCTTGGCGTCTGTGCCCGTGCAGGTGAGCCAAAATACCGCTGCGGCCACAGCAGGATCCTCCTGCAGGAAGACTTGCAGAATCTCTGCAGGAATCCCTCTTACACAGCCTGCCTGACCTGGATTATA